GAGAGGAGTCCCGGAACTTGGCACGGCAAATAGCCGTTTCTAATGGCTACGAAACTGTAGCTCAGAATAGGTGTAGAGGAAATCGTAGGCTTCCAAACGACAATTCTAGCGATAGAAGGGTCCCGTTTATCCTACCCTTTATCTCAAATGATATAAGTACAGCTATAAAACGCTGCTTAAGAAGGGCGGGCTTAGAGAATTCGGTGAGCGTAGTTGAAATACCACCGAGTAATCTTAAGCGCCAGCTAGTTCGTAACCGCCTATATGACCGTCTATGTGCAACTCAAAATTGCATAATTTGCCCCAGTGGTAGAGACGGTGATTGCATGAGCTCGGGTATAGTTTATCTGATCTCCTGTAAGACGTGTGGTGACGAATACATTGGCGAAACGGGTAGACCCCTCTGTGTCCGCATGAAAGAACACCTAGCCGGCAAAAATAGACCAAATACCCCGCTAGGCACGCATAGGACCCAGAGACATAACGGGGACGACTTCGAAGTATGTGTCACGATCCTCGCACGCGAATCAAGAACACAGGCGCAAAAAACTCTCGAGGCACTCTGGATTAATTCCAGAAATCCGAAAATGAACCGCAGGGAAGAATGCCTCATTATCACGCGTGATATAGGGCAGTATATGAAACTGCCTTTCTGATGTGAGGGGCACATTATACTTCCATGTGATTTCTGTGCGGTTGGTCTCTACATGACATACTTAGTGGAAACCTCATAGGAAGCGGTGAGTGTGCAAAGCTGTGTTCAAAGTGATTGAAATCTTGGTTTGGGGTTTCTTTGTTTGGTTATGGAGGCGTCTGGCCGAGTGGATTGCTATCAACTTGACCTTTCCAGGCTCTGAAGAAGGCGAAATCCGCCGAAACGTCAGCTTAATCGTGAACTAAGAATAGTAACATCTCGCGTTTGCTCAACAAAAATACGAAGGTAATCTTTGTGAACTGTAGTTTGCAGAATACACTCAACAAGCATGTTGAGTAACAGCTGCGAAGATCCCCTCGGTAACACTTTTGGGTAGGACGACCGTGCACTACGTCCTCCACTGCCCTGGAATTTTCTTCCCTTAAAAGTGAGACGTTTCATAGGTTGCGAAAAGTGCATATAATTTGCGGCATTCGCTTCAACGGATATCGGCGATAATATTATGTCACGGAGCTGTGCCTCCTTCATGCTTTTGATCGCAACTCGACCTTCAAGGTGTAGAACTTCGAACGGTTTTTCACCAGCGATGACTTCGGTTCCGCCATGGAAACTGTGAAATAGAAAAGATTGGTGTAGTGTTTTCCTTTATGAATTCCGTACCATGCTCACTGGTGATGGTCCCAACTTCAGCATCAAAGCTTATAGTAGAATGCTATAGTTGCGTGATCCCAATGGCACTTCGTGGGCCTTGATCGCTTTTGAGCTGCTTCCAATAAATTTTTCTACCTACATCAGTTTAGACCTTCTTACAAAGATCTTCTAGAGCTGAATTTACTGTCAGCACTGTTGATTGCGTTCGAGTAGGATCAAGCTCTAGTGTACTTGTCTTTCCGAGCGGATCCTTATTGTTAATGATGATACAGTCTGAAGTTCTTGTTCAACAAGCTGAGGCCAGTTCGGCTGAAAGTTTAAGTTCTTCGACAAGCAGTTTGTAAACTTTCACCAAGTTTTCATTTATTTACCAGTTATATGAGAAGGGGTTTTATTGAGAATATAGTCACTATGCACGACTTCCCCTGTCTTTCTTTGACAATGACCAGGCTCCATTTTCAGCTCATGGTTGGGTCGAATTTTCGCACAAAGACGGCGGTGATCGGACCCAATACGGAAGTCAAGAAATGCCAAAAAGACACCAAAGCACCGCTTTCTGTTCGGTAAAATATTGGCGAGATCGGAGTGAATTGCGGCGTTAGAATACTCCCATATCGTTTCGAGATTTCTTTCTTATTTAAGAATAAATTCTAATAGAAGTGACGTGCTGTGTACAGATTTCAACAAGAACGTTTCCATTCTCATTCGGCTTTCCGATTCTGAATTTTCCTATCCACAATCCATTTTCGCTGGCAGTTCGTGATCTAGCAATGAAGTCTCCAACAACGCATTTGCAGAAGGACTTCTCGTTGCGAGCCACTTCTAAGTCGCATCAAGTTCGTCCTCATCAGTTGTACACATTGGTTTTAACGCGGAGGATGGACGCAAAAATGTCCAGATACAGTGACAAAATTTCGTATAAGACTAGATGGTAAATAGATAGGTGTACGGCAAAGCTAACGTCTCCGAGATTTTGTAACAGAATTTTCTCTCCACGAATGACGAGGATTCCATCGTCTTAATAATGTTTGTCGGCCTTCTTGTTCCTCGTCTCTTATGAGATGGTCATATGCAATTTAATGAAACCAGAGGCCGCAAAAAGAGGGTAGAGTTCGGAGCCTGAAAAGACTCTTCTTGTGTTATAGGTGCAGAGCTAGAAGCAGCTTCTATGGTACATCATAGGCAAATTTATTTGGCACGGTTCTAATGTCGTCCTATCCAATGCGAGAGTTGATCGCCTCGCACTAACTTTGTCATCGCTCGATGTTCTACACGTAGACGTCTAGTATGTGGGATCCTAAGGATGGAATACTGCTTGTTGAGCAATTTGTGGTTTTCTGGTGTCTCGAGTTCGGCCTAGTATGAGCTTTTTCCATGTCGTCACTGCCAGAGTCAGCTGTCGTCCACTATGGATCACAAAGAGATTTGTCACCTTAGGACTGGTTTGAATCATAGTTGTCTACCATTTGTACTTTATTATTTAGATTCTATTAGTAAGCATTACAAATGGGTGCCCGCTAGAGTAAGCCATGGAATTTCTTCGAACCATGAGTTGAAACATTCGTTAAAACTTGTTAAGTGAATTCACCCACTGTTAGTCTGTTTTTATGGGTACATGTTTAGGACTGGAGAATGCATCTTGAACAAATGACAAATCTGCAGCAAAAACTCACGGAATTGATCGAATCGGTCACGCCGAAACTGGAGTTGGTAGGTCGGCCACTCAAGAAAAACGCAGTCATCTATTTTGCTACATACATTTCCGCGGTTCCGTAGCGTATTCTAGGTTACCAATGAGGTAGAGAAGTCGCTGGAGCGCATAGAATCACGAGAACGAACACTGAATCAGCAACTCGGTGTTTGGTTGTCACGCTACAAAGAGGCCAATGATGCTAGAGCTGAGGTTAGAGAGCGCTACAAGTGGGTACCCTTGAATATTTTTTTGACATTCTTGGTGATGTCTTTCAAATTCGGTCACGCCTTCATTTCTTGGAACAATCGAAAATGTACATCGTCTTTAAACCACCGTTAAAAACCCCAGTTGTTGGTAGTAATAGCATCAATATTAGTAATAATAATACTAATCGAACCACAATTAGTCTTTCCGGGGGCTCGCGTATTATACACTGCACCATTGAGATGCCTAGCTCTGCATCTCAGCTAGTTAAAAATATATATATATATATATAAAAGAGTTGTCATTGTGATTTCGACTACAACCTTATGATAACTTGATTCAATGTCGATTTGTGCTTTCCAGATCAATCTTGCTGATGGGTGATTGCCGATGGCAGCCTTAGGTAGGAAACTAGCTGAGAGAAACGCAGGGCAAAGGCCCCCGTGGTGCTGTGTTTAACACGCAAACCCGTCAACGGTATTGCTCTGTGGAGCCCAAATCGGCAACGAACCCATTTGAACTGGGGTTGTAGTTATAATCACAATTTTTAACTTATTATTTACTGCCTATTCTTTTTAATGGCAGGATATATTGCGAAATACTGGAGGGTGATTGCTGATAGCTGAGATCGATAGCAATAGCTGAGCGTCAAGCGAAACGAAGGACCCGCATGATGTGGTAGAGAACGCGTTACTCCCCGGAAAGGACAAGAGCGCGTTCGTTCCCTACCACAGAAGCCTGTGGTCCGGAGTTTGCAAATGTCTCAGCATCATTGAACTTATTGTTAAAGTAGTTCTAGGGATCGACAATTCTTTATTTTCAAATTTGCACATCTATGTGCATTAATGAATAGACAAATACTGCAACATGTACTTGAAAACCGGCCGAAGTGCTGTGAATTGCATTCACTTGATCAACCTATTTCTTGACGATGTCTTTCAACTTTGAGGGCAGCTTTTGTGGGTGTCAGCGAACGAACAGCCGCTCTTCAGAGGATCTCCGAGGACATTGACCAGATAAAGATGCAAATCGAAGAACAAGGAGCAAAGACGAGTGATGGAGGTATAGTTTAATGAGGAAAAGCTGGCTACCTGAGACCTCGATTCACGAATCTTGTGAATAGCATTTACTATACTTCTACGTTAGCGTTACCAAAACTATCATAACCAGATTAAGGCTCTCATGAAAATGTCATTTTGTCAGGTTGATCAGCACATTAGTGCAAGTGATACCTATCCATAGGCAATGAAAATACGATCTGGTCTTCAATGGCCTTCAAAGAAGTATCTTCTTCACTAATAGTTTCCCTCTTTGAAATTTCTTAATTCTCAATGTGTTTCATGAAAACTGGAGAACTAGCTCTTCCTCAAGTCCTGGTTTTAAACAAATCTCTGACATCGAGTTAGGCATCCATTGAAACTATCGTTGCAGCTCCGATAATGAAAGTGAAGCAAGCTTTGCTGAAAATCGAAGAGGACATCCAACGAATGAACGTACAGATTGGTGTTCTCGAGCAGTCCCTAATGCAGGCCCAACTCAGAGAGCGCGTCTCGTACGCGACCGAAGCCTACGGGATCGCCTAATTCGCTGATTATCTCTAGCTGTTATTTCTGTCAAAACATTTCAAATTTTTGTTTTTTTAAATGAAATCATCTCTACTTTGTGTTCATATATGACTTAACTAACAAAAGTACAGAAATACGACAAAAAATTAAGCAAAGGAAGAAGATTCGTTCCTCGCAAGAGATTCGGTGATGTCATCGTTCTCACTGGAGTTCCCTTCTCGAGTAGATACTAACAGAGTCTATTCCTCTCTATCATGAACTAATGTTTCCTAATAAGCCTTGTGTTCCACCTGAAACACTAAGACTATCTCACTTTCCTTATGAGAAACCATTAGATAAAATGTTTTTAAAGAAAGGCTACCTCTTAGCATATTCCCAGGGCTCTGTAGTAGCAAAGATTTACTTTAAGCTAGGTTTTCCAGTAAAATATTGGAAACCTCTGCTTGGATGACTTTCCAATCCTTGTTGCAGGTCGAGTCATAATACCCTTTTGCTGTGATGATGTGAGAATCATTAATGCACTTTAAAAATTACGTGAAAAAATTGTTATTTTTCTTGTTTAACATAGAAGTGGAACACGTGAGTAGCAGAAAAACTTCTTTTTCTGGGTTTCTTGGTAAAGGCAGGAGAAGTTTCTAATTTTCTGCAACGTAACCTCGACCTTGCCTTTGTCAGCTGAAGTTCTAAAGAACCAGTGAACCAACACGGCAACAGAATCAATATGTACAGCAACAGTGCAAAAAAAGACAGAAGTGACAAGAAAAAGTACATACTGAAAACGAGAAAGTTTTCGACATGATTGCGATTGAACCAAAGACCTTACTTCTACCACATTTTCCCACATGGGTAACGCCGTCTCTTGCCTTTTGAACAAAGTGAACTTTCGCTTGTGCCAAACGAATTTTCTCCATTGAATTATACTCAGAGACTTCCCTCCCTTTCATGGAGATCACCCTCCACTCTTAAGAAACCAGTACATGGTTTTCACTTCCTAATCATGTTATCGAAGCCAAACTTACACGCTCTCGTTCTACACCGCACAGCTTGGTGTGAAATTAATAGCAAGTTAGCAAAGCTCCCACTTATCCACAAGGGCCATCCACTGTATGTGTCGGCAACGACCTGGGCAAGACTTCAACTCGGATGACCTCGCGACTCCAGATAACCACGGTTTGCTTAATCTTATTAATCCAACCTCAGCACCACACACGCTGTGAGCTCTCGGCGACGACATCGAGTGGTGATAAAATCAAGGCGAGAAGAGCAAGTCTTGGGTTGCACAGGAGATCACTGACGTCCTCCATTTAGATGACGGAGCGCTTATCAACCGTAGACAAAAATTTCCGTTGCCAAACGGTAGAAACATTGGCTTTGTCGTACACCTGTTTATCTGCCATCTCATACCCTCATGTGAAATCTTATCATCGCTCCTAGGAATTCCTCGTCTCCAATTTCTGCGTCGAAAAGGCAGTATCGGTATCGTCCATATCATCAACTGCTACTCACCAACTTTTACAGCTAATAAAAGCTATTTGGACGAGTTCTGCAACCAGTTGAAGGACGTAACCTGCAAAGTGTTGTCTTTTTGCGAATTCGTTATTGGAGACATCAATTCCAGGTTCCGAAAGGCCAACAAAAACGAGCAGATGAAGGCAAAAATCGGAAGATGAGGACGAAAGGAGATTTTAGGCCGCTTTGTAGGACCGCTGCAAGCATCACATCTCTTTCATAGAAATTTATTTTTCGAGAAGAAGGAAAACCTTTGAACAGAATGGAATTTTCTTAACGACACGATTCACGCGAAAGCGAAAGAAAATCAGCAATACTCTTAAACAGAAGGCAGCACCTCCTTGACATTTCATCGATTTTGCACTGGGTTCGATCACCGCCCTTTCTGCGCGGATTCGATCCAGCCATGAGCTAGACAACATTCTTATAACTAATCGATTTTTAGAAATATTCAGTTTATACGATGGTGACAAACGTTTATTCGGCTAAGCTTTCGACGTCTTCATTTTTCTTAGAGCCGATGGTTTTCCATCCAACCATCCTGCAGCATATAGCATTAGAATAACTAGCAAGAAGCGTAATTATACTTACTTTACTAAACCGTCTTTCACTTAAACTCGTCTGTACCAACCCTTTGTAAGCTGAAAAATTCAAAGAAAGTGACTGACTGTTTAAGCGAAAGTTAACTGATAGTTGCTTAAGCAAAATATTCCTATCATCATTGAAAAGCATAAGGCAAATCGTATACAACGAGAATGTTTTCAGTGAAATCTTCCCTTGATACGATTAGAAGAAAATCAAGACTACACTGAAGAGTACAAGTTGCTTGTCAAAGGACTGAAAACATATGTCGAACTCGCCTCATTTTTCAAAGAAGAAGTTCCGCCTACATCTTCAAAATCGCTATGGTGATGCCATAAAAGAACACGGCTAATAATAAATGCCAGCTGTAAAAGAATTCTACACAAGGACTTACGTCGATATAGACAAAAAAAATTTTAGAAGAGACTCAAAAGCGATCTAGTATAAGGAAGTACCGTCGAGATCTTTGCTACTATTATGTTCCTCTATTCGCCAAATCCGCCCTGATGAACGAAGATTATTACTACATCCCGTTACGATATAGAGTTGTTAACGGAAAGTTGCTACACGAACATTTCTCGTTTCCACAACCCGCTTTGCTTTCCTCTTAGACCCCAAAATTTCCGCTGGTGAAAAATTGCCTAAGATCCTATCCTCTGAGGTTCGGGGTGCGATAAAAAGCACGAAGAGAGGCACTGCTCTGACCTTTTTAGAGGTGGCAAATTACATGTGGTTCTTGCAGCTCACGTGACATCTTGCCTTCTGAAAGAGAAAATCCCAGACCTTAAAGTGCCTCGCTCACGATCACCATACCCAAGAAAGGTGACTAAAGAAGTCTTCGTAACTATTGTCCGATATGCTCGTTGAGTGCGCTACAAGCTATTCATGATGAGTATTCCATTGCACAAACTAATAACCCGGAATAAGGTTTAGCCAGGTGAGCAAGCAAGACTCCTACAGAGCCGCTGCTGTATGGACCACTTACAAACCGTGTTACAGATTGTAGAAGCCTGTCCGAAGTACCATAAAAGATGCAACCCTCTCAGGGCTGGTCGACCAAGAAGTGGACTCTTACTCTATACGAACACTAACTCAATGTTATCCCAACTGTATCACTGAATTGTGAAGTACGTTTTTACAAATTTTCGTTGATTTTTTAGCGTACCCATAAAAAAAGGTTTTCGACAAGGTGACACCATATCTGCAAAGGTGCTTAATTGAAGTCAATCGATTGGAACGAAAAAAGCAAATGTAACGGATTTTTGGAGTTAAACCGAATCACTTCAGGAGTCAAGGCGTTAATAGATGCTGATTTAAAACCACCAGTTATATCTTAACTCAAAGTTGTATTACCAACATATCCCGAGTTATCAAAAGTCATAGACTGGTATCCGCTGATGATCTTGATCCTATCGATACATCGTTGAATCGTGGGTAGACCTATCATCAGCTGTATTGATGGACCAATGAACAGAATAAGGCAGCTTTTAATATACATACTTACCTCGTTGTTAAAACATATTCCAATCCATCTGACGAGCATCCAGATGTTCCCGGATGATTTTACGTAACGGGCGCCCTAACAGTGTGTACGCGATGGAGCCCTTCGACGTTACCGCCGCAATAAACAAGTGTAGCTTCACGAGTCAGCAGTTGGTGCCCCTCTTAAAAGAGTGCCTAAACTGCTCAATTTTTAGAAGGTCCGAAAATATTACGCACAAATGAGAGAGTTGACAATGGGATAACGACTGGCACCAACCTTTGCCCAAACCAATGGAATGTATTTATGTCTAGAATGGAAGCACTAATAGCCGATCTCCGGCCATTACTCTTATTCACTTTGCTCACATGGCCCGCCTTCACTGGTTTTGCAGGCCTAACCATAAATTCCATTTTTTGAAGTCTTGCTGGCTTAGCCATTATAGCTCCATAGAGTCTCGAGGTCTGCCCAGCCAAAGTCTGCCCCAGGCCGTCACCACCACAAACGGACGCCGCCTTTGTTGATTAGAGGAAAATTTGCCACCATGCAACCAGTTTGATACTAGGACGGTGGGGTATCCTGGTATTCTCTTACTCTTAGCGTAGCTTCTTGATGGAAAGGCAGAACGGCTTTTCAGCACGGGAGGTCCACCAAGAAGGACCACTTCCCAACCACGATGAGGCGGCAAACCATTGGGGTGGAGGTTGCACATTAATGACTGTAGATACTTAAATCATTGGCTTGTAATTCGCTCAGCACAAGAAAAGGACAAATCCTTTAAGTTATTGGATGAATAGTGAGAGATCCGAGAGAAACTGGAAGAGCTGACTTCCATTTCTGAACCTTAAAATTAGCGTATTCGAAAACGGTTACATCACGATTTAGTATCGAAAGCCAAGTAGTAAAATCTGGTTTATTACATTCTTAGATTGTTAACCTAACGAGGCTGATAAATATGTTTGGTCGGTAAACGTTTCGACGTCTTCGTCTTTATCAGAGCCGGTGATCCGGATCGATGCCCATGGTCGTTCATACTCTCCATGCGATGTCTACGTCATCGTATGGAATCAGATCTTCTTCTGTGGAGCACTGCTTGAAAGAGGCAACCTCGCCGGCTGCGGTCTTTTTTACACAGGATGGTCATTGTTGATACTGAATACCTCTTGATAACGATTTCTATGGATATTCCATCCTGCAGCAATAGAAATTAGATAAGCTTAGATAAGCAAAAGTCGGTGTCATTATCAGTCAACATAGAGCATAATAATAATAATAATATGTTCACCTGGTGAGTGTGTCTCATCCGAAAGATGCTCCACTGAGGAAGATCCTACTCAATGTGAAGGCAAAGAATCTACATCGAGAAGACGAACAACCGTGGACCATCGACTCGGATATCGGCTCTGACGAATACGAAGACATCTAAACGTTAGCCGGGTAGATATTT